TATCAACAAAGAAAAGAGTATTTAACTTAACTGAACATCCTATATGGAAGTGAATGTTAGAAAATTACCTCAGAGATGAAGAAGAGACTTGAAGCAACAGAAATATGGTTCTACAGAAGGATGCTAAAAATACCATGGACTGAACATGTGAGCAACCACAAAGTTTTAAAGAAAATGGAAACAAAAAAGACACTTATACTTAACATGAGAGAGAGAGAGAGAAAGCAAATACAATCTTAACAACATTAGATATGCAGATGAGACAGTGTTGATAGCAAATGGGAAATACAAGAATTCTTAGAGAAGATAGTAAAGTGAGAAGAAAGGAGTAAATTTCAGTTGTAAGAATGAATGTAAGTTGAATGTCTGATTGTCAGAAAACAGAAGAGCCCAACATGCAAATTACAAATTGGAGACGCCAAAATAAAACATGTACAAACATTTAAATATCTAAGAAGTATTTTAACAAAGGTCAGAAAATGGGATACCAAAGACTGAAAGCACATTGGATTAACAAAAGGTGCTTATCAAAAAACTAAGCAAAGTATTAACAAACAGGAAATTTTGCTAGAAACAAAGAGAAGAGTACTGAACTGTTATGTAATATCTGTGCTACTATATGGCAGTGAATGCCAGACAATCTTCTCGCAGATGAAGAAAAAACTTGAGACTGCAGAAATGGGGTTTTACAGAAGGATGCTGAAAATACGTTGGACTGAACATATGAAGAATGAGAATGTTTTACAGAAGGTAGAAACGAAAAGGATGAATATACATAGAATCATAAAGAGAGTTGAAATTTCTAGGGAATATAATGAGGAAAGAAGGTTTGGAAAAATTGATACCCACAGACAGAATGAAGGCAAGAGGGACAAAGTGGAAGGCAGCCCATAACCTACTGAGCTTGTGTAAATGATTGGTAGAAAAGAGATTAGGAGAGCTAGCAAAAACATAAAACTTATTAACATATACAAAGGACAAGGAATTGTGGAGAGTTTTGATCGGTCATGTCCTGAAAGGACAAGTCACATAGAAGAAGAATATAATAAAGATTGTTTGCACTTCACATTGAATTCATTTTGCCCAAACTTCATGATTTCCTTTCAAATTTTGCCCAAACTTCATGATTTCCTTTCAAATTTTGCCCAAACTTCATGATTTCCTTTCAAATTTTGCCCAAACTTCATGATTTCCTTTCAAATTTTGCCCAAACTTCATGATTTCCTTTCAAATTCAAAAATAAATCTACAAACTCATATTCACTTTTATTATTCTTAGATTGCTTTAGTATCTGTCTATATTTCTAAGATGAGGTATTATGTATACTATTTACATTATTCGAACTATTGTCCTCATTTTTGGCGCCATATTTATTACAACATTTCAGCCCTTTAGTATCTGTCTATATTTCTGAGATGAGGTATTATGTACACTATATACATTATTCAGACTATTGTCCTCATCTCCACTGCCTTAAACAGGTATTGAACTCACACTCCTTGGGTCCTGTCACTGGATCTAACTAATGCCATTATCCACTGTGCCATGTGTCCTTGAGGGGAATTAACAGGAGATAACTGATAACTGACATCCATGGCATCTGGAACTAGAACAGTCTACCCCAGTGAGCAAAATAAAGGGTTCAGTTCGACATTCCAACCACCTGAAGAAGGCCGGAGCGTACAACGACCGAAACATTACAAAGGCATTAGTTAGATCCAGTGACAGGATCCAAAGAGTGTGAGTTCAATACCTGGTTAAGGCAGTGGAGAACTTGGAGAGGTGAATTAACAGGAAATAACTGATAAGTGACATCCATTATACATGAGATGTGGAACTTGAACATTCTACTCCAGTGAGCAAAATAAAGGGTTCAGTTCGACATTCCAACCAACTGAAGAAGACCTGAGCGTACAACGACCGAAACATTGTAATAAATATGGTGACAAAGATGAGGACGATAGTCCGAATAATGTAAGTAGTATCAGATTGTTTCATTTTACATCATGTTGAAACACCAGTTCCCATACACTCACCAAATTTAAGCAACATTAAGCCTGGTCAATAACTAGATGGGTGACCACCTGGGAATACCAGGTACTCGGATGTGCAGGTGGTGTAATGGATAATAGCTCAGAATCTTTAATCAGAGAGCTGAGTTCCAATTCCAGTTGGGTTCGTTATATTCACTTATATTAAAAATACCCTTGGGAAAGTTATGAATCCAGCTCTTCTTCCTCCAGCTATGGATTAATTAGTAAGACTAAAGATATTGTCTGGCTTTAAATAACCTGCAAAGGGGTTTATAACCTATAGAAATTGAATCAACCAATCAAATTGCCCCTCATACATAATTGACCAAGCTGCATTGACTTTTCTTTGGATATTAAACAGAAATGAATGAAGATAATGGTTTTTATATTTTCTGTTTTTCTTCAGCATAATGATGGTAAAAGAATTTCATAGAATTTCATACAACACTGCATTTAGCAACAAGAGGAATTCAATGAGAAATATTCAAGTTGAGATGAATCCATCAAAATACAGTTCTTTTCCATTTTCTTTTTTTTTTATATATTTATTACTGAAACATTTAAGATAAAAAAGCCAACTACTCACAAGTCATTCAGCCCATGTTACTTAGCTATGATTAACAAGTAGAAAGTGCTATTGAAATTGTTTAAGAGATAGGTGTTATAAAAATGTGGCTAAAATACACAGACTTGAAGCTACTTGAAAATAGAGGCCATTGTAGTAAGAGTAGTTCATGGGCTATAAACGTAAGGTAGATTTTCTGGTTCGCAGCAGATACTGATGAATAACACTTGCCATATTGATTTCAACCTTCAACTATCCGAAAAAAATATAAAAATCACTTTTTTCTTTCATTTTTAGCTGATATCATGATTAGTTGAAAGAACAATGTCTCCTAATAATAGGCCCATCATCGAAGCAATGGCAACATTAAGTGGTAATCCTTTGGTTGTCCTAAAAGCCTTGCAGTGCTGTCTGTAGATGGAAATGTACCTGTGGAGGTGGGGAGGAAACTATTTCTCTTCAAAGACCACTTAGTCTGATCCTGCTATTTCTCATCTGTCCCCCCCCAACCCCCATCCCCGCAGTTACATTTTGCCTGAACAGAATAATCTGTTGATAGATGAGAATTTCTTTGAATATTGACACAAAGAAAGTGGAAATGAAGATTTTTCTTTCTTTATTCCACATTTTTTTTCAGTGTTCAGTATGAATCAATTTTACTTTGAAGAGACAAGCAGGAAGAGATAGGCAAAAAATCCTAAAAGAAGCAAGTGTTATCACTCTTAATAAGATAATAATAATAATAATAATAATAATAATAATAATAATAATCTAAGAATGGTCCCCAAAACCCTTAATGAAAGAACTTAAAGAATTGGGCATCCAGGAAAAGATTAAGAAAATTAACACAACAGCAGTATTGGAATCAGTAAGAATATTGCAAAAAGTGATGGAGTTTCATGGGGATTTAATCCCCAGTTTTGGCCACTGTAAATGTTGGCCATCAGAAGATTATTTTGAGAAGAGAGGAAGAGGGGGAGGAAGATGGGGAGTGAAGGAAGAGGAGAAGGTGTAAGAAGAAAAGGATGAGAGGGAAGAAAGAGGAGAAGGAAGGAAGAGGTGGGGGAAAGTGAAAGAATAATAATAATAATAATAATAATAATAATAATAATAATAATAATAATAATAATAATAATAAACACTGGACAATGTGCAAACACTTTGGAAAATGTGTAAGCAAACACTGGTATGAACATCGGCCAGCGCGCGGTTACAGAAATAGAAGATGTCACCATTCTATGGGATTATACCATCCACACAGACAGAAAAGAAGCAAATAGGGCGGACATTATTGGAAAGAAAAACTTGCCTACTAATTGATATGGCTTGTCCAGGGATTGTAACATAGCAACCAAGGAATTTGAAAAACTATCAAAATACAAAGGAGAAATTGAAATAGAAAAAATGTGGAAATTGAAAACAAGAATAATACCAGGTAATAGGTGACTTGGAATTATAAAAAATGGAACAAAACAACACATTGAAAGAAGAAAAAGCTTAAGAGACATACAGAAAATTGTCTTATTAAGTACAGCACACACACTAAGGAGAACTTTGTCTATGTAACGCTATCAACTTCATCGGAGAAAAAAAAAAAAAAAAAAAAAAAAAAATTAACATGAAAATAACAACAACACACCACGACCTGCCTTAGGTCTTTCCATGAGACTTGGTAGGTAGTGTGTCCATAAGAAAATAATAATAATAATAATAATAATAATAATTCTATCAAGGGTGTATCATAACTGAACTAAAGAAAGAGTAGACAATTAGATTTTGGAGTCAATAACCTTTATCTCTGTTGCTCTTTTTTGCCTTGAGTAAGAAAAAATATATTAATCTTCATTATTGTAGATTGTCTTTTCAGACAAATCAACTGGATCTTTTCAATGTTGGAATGGTTCTCAGGTGGCTGATTAGATAGGCAGGGGAATTTGACATATTTTTATGCAGTTGTTTCTTGATAATGACTGCAACAATCAAAAGTACTTGAACAAAAATAACAAAATATGAAATTCAGACAGTTTATCCACAACTTCAAGGACAATACATAAAACCCTATGTGAAGATTGGAAAAATATAATAAAAAATTAAACTGAGAGATTGTGTCAGTTCTTTTTAATCAAACTTGTTTAAATATATATATATATATATATATATATATATATATATATACAGAGAGTTCATATTTTTATTAACAAGATTTCTTGAATATCAGGACAGTAGATGAAAATAAATAAACATACTGTTTAATAAATAAACAGAGCATCTACTCAAATAGTACTGTCCGCTAAAAATAACATTTAAAGTGTTAAAATCTGTTGGATTAATAAATAAAAAATAATCCATTACTTTAGAAAATATATATATATATATATATATATATATATATATACACACACAGACTGATTAATAGATAGATAGATAGATAGATAGATAGATAGATAGATAGATAGATAGATAGATACTGTACTATGAGGCAGAGGCAGAATTGGGAAAATAGATTAATAGATTTGAACGGGCTGAAGTAAATAGATAGATAGATAGATAGATAGATAGATAGATAGATAGATAGATGGCATCTAGGGTTTTAAGTCTTTCCTTGCACTGAGTGCTGTAGTGGATAATACTAAAATACTCTATAAAGTATAAAGATTCATGCATTTGTAGATGTATATATGTAGATGTGTATGTATTTTGGATATATATATATATATATATATATATATATATATATATATATATATATGAACAGTCAAAAAATAAGATCAAGGCTCATTACAAATACAGAAAATGAATAATGAAATCTTAAAAGAACATAAGGAAATTTTATTCCTTTAAAAATTGATTCATTTAATTTGCCAGAAGAAGGTTATGAGACTGGAAACGCATGTAGCAAATATATGAAGAATAAAACAGATTGAATGGAAAGATAAATAATGAGCAGATAGACAGATGGATATGAAGAGAGCTACTAGGAAAGATAATGAGATAATGACTGACGAGGATTGATAATGAGCAGAGATAGATAGATAGATAAATAGATAGATAGATAGATAGATAGATAGATAGATAGATAGATAGATAGATAGCTTCTAGTGTTTTGAGTCTTTCCTTACACTGAATTTCTATTTGTGGATGTATATATAGATGTATATGTATTTCTGGTTGTGTATATATATATATATATATATATATATATATATATATATATATATATATATATATATATTTCTGGATTTGTATATATTTGTGGATATGTATATAAATGTAAACATTTGTGGGTGTGTATATGGATGGATGTATTTGTGAATGTGTGCATTGTATATATATATCATTCAGTTAGCAAGGTCGATTTTACTGCTTTTAAACTACAATCTCTGTGGCTCAATCGGTTAAGGTATGTCAGGCTATATGACAGTTCTGTATAGGATACAGGTTTGATTCCTGGTGGAATACGAATATTTTCTATGAAAATTTCTCGGACATTCAGGTCAGTAAATGTTATTAATACTGTTTATTATACACAGAGCATTTACTTAAAATATTTGTATTAATAAAAAGAATGTATAAACATAAAATGTCTTAAAATAATTGTTGGACTTTGTCCATTTCCTAATATATATATATATATATATATATATATATATATAGTCAAACCTAGAGAACCAGACAAACCTACCAAGGTTACTACACTCGCCTCGGAAAACCTTTGGTTTCTTGATTTGCTAATTATCAAATCAATTTCGAAGGAAAAAAAAGGTTTAAAAAAGAAGCTCTCAGAACATGAACGTCTGTCGATAATAATCATACAGCATACAGGCCCAAAGAAAAATACCCCGATATCAGTAATCAACAAACTAAAAAAGTGCTCAATACAAAAGTAGAGCAGACCTAGTCAAACCTAGAGAGCCAGAGACAAACCTACCAATATATATATATATATATATATATATATATATATATATATATATTATATATATATATTTATTTAGTACCTGGCATTGCCTGGGTGTATGTGTCTGCAATTGTATAACCACACCTCATTGTATACCTGCACCCCACTGTCTAGAAATATCTGCCTGTGTCCCTGCTTGCATGCATCATCCATTGTTTACTCCCTCTCTCTTCATTGGTATGTTCTTCACAAGTGTTTGATTGTTCTTAATAAAGGAATTCTATCAATAAAACCTTCTTCTGTGGTCATTGTGTGGGGTTAAATGTTTCAATGTTTTAGATATTCAGTAAATTTCCTATGGCCATAATAACTTTCAAATAATATAGCATTGTCCACAAATCTAATTATGAAACAAAAACAGGGATAAAGCATCAGAGCTTTATTCAACTGCTGCTTGGACCAGGGGCAATGATCAAAGTGTAGTACACTGCCTTTGTGAGCTTCTGAGTTGGCGTCTGTCGAACTCTCTGCATTAGCAGAGAGGAACCCGGATGAAACTTTGCTGAAGAGCAAGGTTTCATTCGGGGAGGTAGACAGGGCCTGAATCCGCCTAGGTGGGTTAAAAAAGGCTATATTTTTGGCCGAGCCTACGGGATCGGGGATACCCACATTAAACCGGCCTTGTGCCACATTCTATCCTCGTGGGTGGATTGATAAATACTGAGCTTTATTCAACTGCAAGAGCAAGCACAAGAATACCCCTCCTTCTTCACACATTTACTTTAAAGCTGGGATTAATAAGGTTCTTCAGGAATTTTTCACTTTATAATGATTCAATGGTCCTTCTCAAAACAAGTTGTTTGAATGCCAATTTAGGATGGATTTATATGAAGAAACTATTGCTAAATGGCAAAAGCCAGTTTTGGACCTAGTTTGTTGCAGATTTCATCCACTTAACTAAAATAATCTAAACCAAAGAGTCACACAAGATAATTTGTCTGTCATATGTAATTTACATGGCAAATGTAGAAAGCACCAGATAAAAAACCAGAGAGTTATAGCTGACAAACAGGTTTTTTGAACACTTTTTTATTATATATTGGGAAGTGAGCAGGACTAAAACTACACTTATTTCTTGCATGATGGTATATTTTTTATGACCTGTTTGAAGAAAATCAGATAAAAAATGAGGAAGTTAATCAAGTTTTTATTTTAAGTAGTACGAAAAACCCAATTTTTTCACAGTTTTTGCAATTTTTTGTGTGAAGACAATGTCACACAAAAACTATCAAGCACTCTACACAAATCTTGTAACATGAACTATGTTTTGCATTAAGTGCAAAGAACATCAGCTCATCCAGTAAAATTTTTTTGGGGTATAACTTTGCCTTGGTTCTTGTCAAAGGTTGTACCCACCTTCAGTTTTATCAATTTTTCTGTCAAATCCAGAGAGCTTGCAGATTGAAACCTTGGTCTTGACTTATTATAGTAAATTAGCAATGTTTGTATCAAATTTTATCAAAATTGGTCAAGAAGTGCACACAGGCACAAATAGCATATACACACACAAACAGACAGACATACACACACACACAGAAATCTTCTGTTTTATATGTATATATATTTTAGGAGATTACACCAAAAACATGTACAAATTGTTACACAATTGCAGTTGTTTTTCAATGTGCATTGAAACACAACTGCAATTGTGTAGCGATTTTTACATGTTTGTTTTAAAATAAATAATATTGCTCTACTCTCTATTGAGCTCCCTTTTAAATTAAATGTTACGAACATTGGAGCTGTACTCTATTGGTTTTCATTGTACCTGGATATATATATATATGTGTGTGTGTGTGTGTGAGTGTGGATATGAGCGTGTTAAGATTACTGAAATGAACACACTCATCAGAAAGTGGAAACATGTGAAAGTCTTCTAAAAATGCTATGAAGGTGTGGCAGGCAGCAAGTCATAGAATGGTAGTTCCTACAGGAGCCTGGAAACAAGGAGAAAAGTTCACCAATGTTGGATAAAATTTAAAAAATGATTTCATTAATTGAAAAATGCCCTTGGGGTGTTTTGACAACAAGTAATAAAAACTCAACCTTTAATTAAACTCAGCATTGTTACTGTTGCAATTAAATATTTAAATGTTGCTAGTGATTAGCCCTGATTTGCCTTGGGAAAAACCCTTTGGCCGATTTCCATCCACTTTTGAAAAGTCTCTTCTTTAAACCAAAGAATTAGTACAATTAATGCTGAAACTTTGCCAATTAAACTGAAGGAAAAAAATGATTCTCAGATATCCACACATAATTTAAATGAAACAAAAAAAGTTGCTACTATAGGATTGATATCCATCTGAATTTTTAAAAAATGTTTCTGAAATTTGGAAACTTCATTTTTTCAATGAAAACTTCAGGGAAAAAATAAATTTCCACATTAATTTGAGAATATTTACAAATTAGTGTATTTGATGGCATCATAGTAGCATTTGTTATTTATCATCGCCTCAATAAACTTTCATTAATTGGGGTAAAATTTAAAATTGCAACTTTTTTACAACAAAGATTTTTTGTAAATGTAAGAGCTGATTTGTGTAGATTTATCTTTCCATAGTAAATAATCTTTATTGAATTTTTTGCAGAAATGAACATATGTCTGATATTGAGAAAGTATATACATTTATACATAGGAAGCATGGTTGAATAAGGGAATTGAGGAATCAGAGAGCCGAGTTCGAATTCCAGTCAAATTCATTATATTCACTTATGTGCTAATAACCTCTTCTTCTCTCCCCAGCTATGGGTAAATAGCAGGACAGACTGGGTTCTATAGCCTTGGATGGCAACTGGTTTAAAAAAGAAATGGCAACCTACTGCAGGAAAAAAATCTGCCTCAACAGTCATGTACCAAAAATCGCACATAACTGACTGATATACATTTCGTAAATGTTATTACTCATCATTTATAGGCGAAAAGAATATATAAATTCAAAGAAGGGTCTGTAATGTAATCAATTTTAACTTAGCATCTCAACTTCAGTCACTTTCTCACCATCATGATGTGGCTTCCCTCTGTTTTTTCTACAAATATTTTCATGGCATTTGTTTTGATCAGCCGTTCTCTTTACTGCCCCAATTGCATGACTTTAAGCGTACTACTAGGTCTCATAGTTTTATTATTGAACTAGCTTGATGTAGCCATCAGTTTTATTCTAATTGTTTTTCTTGCACATTCTCATCTGTGAAAGTCCCTTCTGATTTCTTCCTTCCTTTCCACCTACAATCTTCAAAAATTTAAATGCAATGTCAATTGCTATCTTCTGTCTCCCTAAATCCTGTTCCTTTATTGTCCTTTTTCTCACTTCTCCTCACTGAAGTCTTCTCATTCTTTCACTCTCCTCTGTTTTCTTCTTTCTTAGTGGCTTATCATATTGCTTGGAGTGAAATAATTTTTAAAAGATAAAAATAATTATATTGCATTTGAGATGTTGCCATGTGATTTAAGTTTTTAGTAAATTTTTTTTTTTTGCTCTCAATTGGCCTCGTTTTTCTCAGAGCAAATGATATGAAATTTTTAGTTGAAACAAAACACTCTTTATCAAAAATGTTACAGCTAAAGTTCTTTTTATGGAATCAATATTCACAATGATCTGTTGGAACTGCTCAACAACCTTGATATATTCAGAAAAGATATTAGAATAATCAAGAACATATACAGGCAGCAAACAGCATGCATGCATATTGAGAATGAGTTCAGCGAATATACAAAAATAGAAAGGGGCATAAGGCAAGTATGTGTCTTCTCACCAGACTTATTCAACCTATACAGCATGGCAATTCTGAGAGAATTGGAGATCTTACCGGGATTCAGCATTATAAGATATGCAAATGACACAGTGCTGATAGCAGACATGGAAAAGAAACTACAAAACCTCCTACAGAAAGTAGTGAGGGAGAGCGAGAAGAAAGGACTAACCATCAACTACAAGAAGAGAAAATGCATGGTCATATGTAAAAGGATGAACCCTAAAATCAAGCATGTACAGAAGTTTAAATATCTGGGAAGTGTTTTAACAGAGGACAAAAGGTACAACGCTGAGAACCAAAGACGGATTGGGATGGCCAAGGATGCATTCCAAAAGTTGGGCAAGCATCTGTCCTACTATAGAGCAGTGAATATTTTATGGTCTC